CAAACGAAAGAGAGATGAACCCCCCTTTACAAATATACGTATGTATGTATAGGTACGCGCGGATGGACCAAAGTTATATAGTGCACGGAGTGGATGTACGTATAAGCATATATATACAAGTGAGAGAGAGAGAGAGAGAGAGAGAAAGAAATAAGAGGAAGGAAGGAGCATCAGCAGGTAAACGACCCCGCGCGCGTGTGCCTCTATGCATCATCATATCCTTCTCTCTTTCGTCTCATCCTTGCACGTATTGTAATGGACTTTTTACAATGTGCGCCCTCGTGCAAGAGTACACTTATACGTAGTTACAGCATGTGTATGTGCAATAATAATTGACACAGGGGAGGTGTTTCTCGATGCGTATACGAGTATAAGTACGTGGTGTCGTTTTGGAGTAAGAAATAATAATGGACCTCTAGGCGGTGGATGAGGCCCGGTTTTTTCGGGGGTTCGGACGGAGAAGGGGTATAAGTTGCCGAACAAGAAATCGGCTTTGGTGGAGTATCTCGTGTACGTGTACTTCGATGGACTTTAAGGCGATCCGATCGAGAATTCGGTGCGTGTTTTTCAGATGACGCGATAGAGTCCAAGAGAGGGGGCGTTTGGGGAGGAGATGTTGATGCCAAGGAGGAGCGGGTAAGTTTTTCAACCGATTTTTCGAATTTCAAACCATACATTCGACCTTATTTCGGCACGACCATTTCGAACGATCTAGTACGATTATCTAATATCTTTCGAACCGATTTTCCATGGAGACGCTTTTGATCCGTTACATGAATATATTATTACTTGTGTCGTGAACAGATTGGAAGAACGAGTCTTTTACATTTGAAATTCATAAATGAGATTATTCCATTCGGTTGACGATTAAATTAACGATATGTAATTTCGTTTGATTAATTTACCTGTAAATAAGTTTCAATACGATTGTTAATCAATATCAACCAAGGAGGCATAATTTTATGAATAAACGGTAACGGTACAACTTTTTATCGCCAAAGCTCAGTTGGAAAAATCGATTTTTCATAATTTTTCGCACTATTTTACATAAATGTCGCGTAAAATTGAAAAAAGTAAATCATACAATTAAAACTGTAACCATGAGTAGTTATGTTATACCTGAGAAGCATTACTCTACATCCACTTCTCCTCCGCCGCACATTGCAACACAAAACAACCTTCCTTTCGATAAATGTACTTGATTTCGGATTAGAATTACACCGCGACATGTAAGTGAGATTCTTTTTTTTAAAAAACTAAATCTTCAACGTTATACGTTTATTGAAACTCGAAAAATGTAACTGTTAAAAGTAATTATTACAGTTTTAACGAAGAATCTTAAGCTCATTTGTGCAGTATTAAATTGCGAGATGTATTGCGGGGTTAAGAAAGGGAAAAAAGTACATAATCTGATTACGTTTCCGCTCAAGTCCATACTCGGAATAAAAGAGACTCACAACAATTGTTCATCCCTCTTGTATATATATATATATATATATATATGTGTGTGTGTGTGTGTACGTAATAAAGCAAAGTACCTGTAGTATCTTCATGCATAGTGGGTAAAAGCGAAATATATACGGAAATTTTTGTATTTTGTATGAAATAAAAAACTTTTTTTTAATATTTCCATCAGTTAAATAACAAGTGTGAAAAGAAAAAAAAATGGTTTCGGCCGGGATCGAACCGGCGGCCTTCTGCGTGTAAAGCAGACGTGATAACCACTACACTACGAAACCAGGTAGTTCATATTGGCTAAGATAACCGTATTGTAATCTCGAAAAATCGTTCGGGCACGTAAGGTACATTATAATGCGCTTTTACTCTCGATAACGCAATAAAATTTCGTAAACGAAAAATCGATAAATCACCGCGTACAGCTCACGAGTGCGTGTATACGTATAGCGTCATCGAGTCAACATCCTCCCATTTACTGCCTACTTTTTATGTAAATATGCAAGACGCCGTTACATTTTTCTTCTTACACGCCAAGAGAGACGTTTCTTCATAAATAATAATGATACACGAGAAAAAAAAAAAAAAAAAAAGAAAAAAAAACGAAATTTCAACATACCGTTACATATTTCACGTATACATCATTAACAGCATCAGCTACCGATACATATTACGCTTCGAACGCAGCTTTCGATTGACTCACCGGTTTGAGTTATCAGTACTAGAGCACATTTTTATGATCGCCTCGTTTCATTCGGACGTAAATATTGATAAATTTTACAACAGCCCCCTTAAAAAGGAACGAATCGAGCGACTGTAATACCAAAGGCAATAAAAACCAAAAGCGCGTATGAAATGCTGTATGAATGTAACACACACGAGTCCGATAATTGGAGCCAATTGAATCGCGCAATATTCTACATCTGTACAAGGGAAAAAAAAAAAAAAAAAAAAAAAAAAAGATTAAGTGAGATCGATTACTCATTATGATATTTACTCTTTCGCTCTTCTACACAGGTATAATAAACAACTACTCTCTACGTTGCATCACGCTTGCGTATACGCACGTATAGGTACGTGTTACATGCCCACGCCTATATATTATTATGATGTAATATATAGACGTAGAGTTATTATATCGCAGTACTACAAGTATAATATTATAGGTCTCTCGAAAGTTTTAAGCGCTCGATTTTACAACCTGGAAAAACTTGGGTCTCCAGCAGCGCGCGGCGGGAAAATAACAAAAACTTTTCTAATCCGATCGTTTACCCTCTTGTACTACTGCTACCCATCAGGTGTATACGTACGTTTATACCTGTACAGGCAGGTGTAAGTACGTAAAAGGAGACCAAGAGAAAATTGAAAAAAGCATGGCAATCAAAGTTTTTCTCGGCTGCCCCCACGCGTGTACTCGCCTATACGTGTCTGTTGTACCTAAATACACGACGCTAGTGCATGTTAGTAGATCTGTGCTGGTACATTGTAAGTGACCTGTACGGGTATACAACTATACTTTTTTCATTGCGCTCGAACGAGTAGATAGACTCGTTCAACTTGTATACATCCATACGCTATACATCTACTTACTTACCTACTATATACGTACGTTTTGATAAAAAATACACTTATATTGTATATGCAAGGCTCGCAATATTGCGGAGGAGGAAGGTATATAATAGTACACTTTCGTACACCGGATGGAGGCTAAAGGTCCTTTGCTCACGTGCCATCGCAATCGGTAAAAGAAATATACCTACAGGACATTACATACACGTATACAATATGCGCTTATTATTATCTTAGGTGTACGCGATTACGACGTAATTGCATCTTTGCACACGTACACCACACGATCTACATGTATATAAGGTATAAGACTTACTTATTGCCGGCTAATAAGTTTACCAGATACATAATATATATATANGGTGTGCAGTACACAGGGAAGCTATATCTCTTCCTTTGTCGTTCCACCTCGGAACTTTGTGACGTGAATCATATATATATATATATATATATGCATTGAGCTCTTGCGTTCATTCTTACGAGGGTATACACATATTATATAGCACCAAAATCGCGAGGCTCGGGAAAAATCGGTTTCGCGTGCGCGCTCGCGACCACGTGTACATTGGAATCGAGGATACCGTGTTAATTGCACGTGTTTTCGAGATTTCGGCCTCCTTTCGCTTTATTACGCTGCGACGGTAGTAGCATACGTACATATTGTATATAGGTATTATTTATATTAATATACGTGATCTACGAGTAACTTACAATCTGTCTCTCTGTTGTGGGGCTGGTTTGTGCGGATCTCATCGATATTAATCAAAGTTACGTTTTTTTTTCCCAAGGATTTTTATGATGTACGTTATTGGTTGTGTTTTTGAGGAGAAATCAATCAACCGATTTTTCGACCAACGTATACACCTATTTGCCGTGTATGGACTTGAAAACTAATGGGTCGTCCAACCCCCGCAAAAACCTACGTCTATCAATCATTTGTGATTTAAAAAGAAAAAAATAATAATGATAAAAGAAACCGTCCAGATCCACGCGACTGCTGCATTATACTTTAAAAGACATACAACAAACTGAACCCGACGACCAAACAGATTCTCGTTAAAAAAAGGGGGCGGGAAACAAAAAATATCTCTCCACGCGACAACCCTCGATAACAGCCACTATACACACCCACGACGATGTAACGCCTTCGTCCAACTTTTCTTTTGAAAAAATCTCTCTCTCTTGAAAGTTGAGGGCCTCTCGGGCAAATTGACGCCAAGAGCCTCGCACGCCTCGCAGCTACTCCTTCGTTGTTTTTTTTTTTTTTTATTTTTTCCCTTCGTCCATCACTGCTGCATACAATGTACTTACAAGAACCTTCCCAGACAGACGTATACGGACAAATAACAAGCCATCGGGGCAGATTTCGCGGGTCAGCGAAAGCGCTCCTTTTTCCTCTCTTATTTTTTTTTTTCCCCCCTCACCTTTACGACGCATCGCAGCGCTTTGTGCGGACTCTGCAACTGCACCTCGAATCTTTTCTCCTTTCTCTCGACACTTCCTCTTGTTTAGTTTTTTCTTTTCTTTTTCATTCATTCTGGAAAGAGGAACAAAAAAAAATGTCTTTTTTCCATCTCAAGGACAAAAGGAGCCATCAACCCCTCACGTGCCCGTCCATACTCTCACTTACACCTTGTGCGCGTACATTATACATTCACGAGAATCTCAGATGAGAGTCGAACAATAGTCTCGATGCAGAAGAGGAAAAAAAAAAAAAAAACAAAGAGATGCGACAATGCAGCGGCGCGTCCGTGAATTAGTCACCTTTTACCGCTCCTGATGCTGTTACACCTATACGGCTCTGATGTGGCCTTTTTCCTTTTCCGCGCTTCCTGGACCATTCGAGCGAGCGCCCCGACTTTTTGGCATCGAGGTTCGAGCAAACGGAGTATTAAATTAATTGGCGCGCTTCGCTTTGACGAAATTGGAGTGCCTTGCAGGAAGAGTCATGGTATACTGTTAAGAGTACACGGGGCAGGATGAGTCATTTTTTTTTATTTGGACCGGGGAGCCTTTGATCTAAAGATGTATTTGTTTGCGAAAGAATGACGTGAAAGATTTCTTTATTTACAATTTATGTACAATTTTTTTTTTTTCATTTGCTCAAAGAAAAATACCATGCATATTGTTTATATCTTACATTGCAAAGTGCTCACTCGAGCTGCGTTCTTGAGAAACTTGGGAGCATTAAAAAGGACTTGTTTATCGTTAAAACGTCAAATTGCATAAAAAATGTGTCATTGATAATTTACGGGTTCTTTAATTAACGTCAGTGTGTTTTGTTATTTTGAACAAATACTTTCAAGCAATAAAAATCGAATTAATAAAAAAGATCGGGTCTTGGTTTTGATGCCAAATCTACATGTGATTGGTTGCATTGAACCAACTCTTTTTTTGGCAAATCATAGTATGTACAATTTGTAGAGTATTAACGAAAAAATACAAGGGTAGATATTAGTGTTTTTGTAGTCTAAAGCGAATAAACAAATGTAAATTCTTGTTGAAATATGCATCAACAAGTTTTTTTAAGAATAATCATAAGTTTATAAATTCTCTGATGAAAAAAAGACCTTAATAATCTGCAGCGTTACTCGCCAAATAATCGCGACGACCGATGTTCGACGCCTGTTTGCTCTGAATAGCCTCTAGCTTTGGACACTCTGTGATTCTGTGGCCAAGACCACCGCAGTAACTGCATCCTTGTTCGTCTGAAAAAAAACATTGTACGTTCATAAAGTACGCCGTCGGTGTGTTGTAAAATTTTTGAAAAACATATGAAGGATAAATTATTACCTCCAACATTGAGGTACTTTTCGTTTTCTGAGCACAATTCCTGTAGGAAGGGAGGTATTTTCTGTTTTGCTTCTCTGAGCAAGTGTTTCAAGTCTAGAAGAACAGATTCGTCATTGGCCTTATTTATGAACGTCGTCGCTATACCCGTACGCCCAGAACGACCAGTTCTACCAATTCTGTGGACTGTAGAATCAAACATAACGTTTATTTTATTTCAAATATCGACACTATGGGTAAAAAAAGTATTTGTCAATGTAAGTTACCGTAATTTTCCACGTCATCTGGCATGTCGTAATTTATAACGTGTTGGATGTTAATAAAATCCAAACCCTTGGAAGCTACATCTGTGGCTACCAAAACGTCTTTTTTCCCAGCTCTAAATGCATCCACAGATCGCGATCTTTCCTCCTGATCTGGAGTAAAACAGTAATTTGTATTTGCATAAGGCTATTGTGTGTTTGTACTTAAATGCTCAAACAAACAAAAATCATACCCTTTCCACCATGAATGGCCACTGCCTCGACACCCTTTAATAATAGATATTCATGAATAGCATCAACGTCTTGCTTTTTCTCGGCAAATATAAGAACTGGAGGAGATGTTTTCTTCAAACACTCCAAAAGATACACAATCTTGGCTTCTTGTTTCACATACTCGACTTCTTGGATAACATTCATGGAAGCAGCTCCAGCTCGTCCAACGTTAATCGTTACAGGTTTCACAAGTGCAGAACGAGCAAAATTCTGAATTTTTTTCGGCATAGTAGCAGAGAATAAAAGTGTTTGCCTCTGACCCTATGGATAAAAGGAAATTTTTTGGTTTCGCTTCGAGTAAGTTTTAAAAAAATGGAAGTTTTTCGAATTTCTGCTCACTTTAAAGTATGAAAATATTGTACGAACATCCTCTTCAAAACCCATATCAATCATACGATCGGCTTCATCCATACACAGATATCTGCAAACACTAAGTTTCACCATTTTTTTATCCAACATATCCATGAGTCGACCAGGAGTTGCAACCATTATATGAACTCCCCTGTAAAAGTAAATTTTGCCATGAGTATGAATTATCATAAAAAATTAATAAAAGAAAGAAAAAGTTATCATTACCTGTTAATTATATCTAAACACTCTGATACTGGTACTCCACCAATAGCAAGACAACTTCGAATTTCAGGGCAGCGAGCTTGCCTCAGAGAATTTGTGTAGTGTTGTATAATTTCGTATGTTTGCTTTGCCAACTCTCTGGATGGACATATAATTAATCCTGAAATAACAGTTAAGTATATTAAGTTTTGGAAGTACAAACTCATATCAGTTGCTAAGATAAACTGCTCTCCTGATTACCATAAGGTCCTTCATTCCTGCCAAAAGGTAAGGCAACTTCTTGTTCCAAACAAAACATTATGATAGGCAGTACAAAAACTAACGTCTTACCACTACCAGTGAATGCAATTCCTATAATATCTCTTCCAGCTAATCTATAAAAAAGAAATAAGTGTAACAGTAATTAGTAATCTCACACATTGTAACTAACATAACTAAAAACCGGCACAATAAGTAACTAACACTGCCGGTATGCCTTGTATTTGTATGGGTGTTGGCTTTTTGATTCCCTTCTCGTCTAAACCAGACAGAATGCACTTGTGAAACTTCATTTCCTTGAAACTACGTAGTGGAGGAGGAACATCATCTCCTTCGACTGTGATGCCAAATCTTCTTCTTACCCTATCATGCCTTGCTTCACTTAGAGCAAGTACGACTCTTGGAGGCTTCCAACTGGTTTTAATAGGATCTGTGTACTCAATACCTTTGGCTAACTCTGCCACACCCATCAAAGCTTTGTTCTCAGCAACACTTTCCAATATTTTTTCTTCTTCCTTTAATTGTTTTTCCATAGCACTTTCTTTTTTAGCTATTGACAAAAATACATGAGTTAACACATTATTTTTAAGACTATTATTTATATAAAAACTTAATTTTCAAATCATACCTTCAGCTAATTTTTTCAACTCATTATGTTGATCCAAAAGAGAAATATTAGACTTTCTGCCCCATATCTGTCCATCAACATCATCGCCATCATCTTTTTCATTTTCACTGCTACTTTTTCCAGTCCAACCATCTTCTTTGAGCTGCCCTAAACGTCCTAATTTCATTAATTGTTGCTTTTTTCTTTCTTTCACAGGAACATAAGGCACATAATCATCATCCGACTCAGAATCATTACTTCCATTCGCTTCTCTTCTGTATCTCTGCAATAATTTTAATTAATATTGCACCGTTTGAATGAAAAATATTCTAAATTGTCACAAAATAATTACCTTAACTGGTACAAGAGATTTCTCTTTGTTGTTACTCATTGTACTTGGTGTATCAGAAAACCATTCAATGATCATCTGAACTTACGAGTTATGAAGAATTATTGATTTTCTTATAAAGAAGTTGCGTTTCTAATGTTTCAAATCCATTCGTAAACTTTTTAAAGCCAAAATTTCATGAAACAACACTCGATAGCAGCACACTGCACATGAAACATTTGATTGTAGTGGTACACAAAGAAAAACTAACCCCCATTTCACTTGTTGTTTACACTTGAAAATTTCACATAAAATAATAATACTGAGTAATATCTTAATTAATTTCGTACTAATATTAATATTAACATTCGTACCGCTAAATTTATGTATTATGTTCGTGTCAGTGTTGTGTCACGTGGTTTGGATTGGTGTATGCGCGGTGGAAGTCCATCGGATACGAAAACCCCTCTAATATAGCTGCCATTTAGGGGTACTTTTTAGCTCGAAATCAGCAACGCGAGATGGCGCTGATTTTGCCCCATTTGCAGCAAAGAAATGAATATCCTACTATGCTGACAACAAAGTAGATACCCTTGTGCACCGACAACAATGTGGACATTCTACTTGACCGACGACCAACAACTTAGCATCAGTTGAGATTCTGCTCTATCGGCATGTTATTGGCCGTCAGCAAGAAATAACTCTTGTTGCGTAAGCAAAATTTACAAAAATTCCGGTACCGGGAATCGAACCCGAGCCTCCTGGGTGAGAGCCAGGTATCCTAGCCACTAGACCATACCGGAGTACGATCACGGATGCTCACAAAAAACTACTTGACGAAAATAGTACATTACGCCACTAGAGCGCAAAGTGTCACTTTGCGCCCGCGGACGAACTTTGCGCCCGCCGATTACTTTGCGCCCTAGGGCAGAAAAGTTCCACTTTGGGCCCATGACGCATGCACGAAAAGTACTTTGGGCCCTCACTTTGCGCCCGATAGGGAGAAATAGTACATTACGCCACTAGAGCGCAAAGTGTCACTTTGGTTGGGGGGGTACGGGGGGGCGAAGCCCCTTCGACTACAAAACATAAATTGTTCGTTCTTAAAAAAAAAAAAATCCATTTTTATTCTTCAAAAATTGTATATAAATATGATTTCATCCAAATTTTACAATTTAATTTCGAAAACTTATAGAATTTCGCCCCCTGACTACAAAACATAAATAGTTCGTTCTTAAAAAAAAAAATCCATTTTTATTCTTCAAAAATTGTATATAAATATGATTTCATTCAAATTTGATAATTTAATTTTAAAAACTCATTATAGAATTAAAATAATTCAAAATTATACTATTTCACATTATTATATAACTTTGAAAAACTGATACTTATATGTTTTGCACACTATTTTCATGTACAGTGTGGGAAATTTGATTTTTGGCACTTCAAATATGTGAAAAAAGCCCATTTTTTGCACACTAGTACAGAAAAAGTATGAATTATGGTGTACAAAGAATTGTGATTACTTTGCGCCCTAGGGCAGAAAAGTACTTTTCCGCCCTCGGGTGGTTTTGGGAGGCTGGTACTTCCTCGGGCAAAAAAGCAGTTTTCCGATACTCGTTCGAAAAGTCTCCTTTACGAACCTCGTTACGAACCTCGCCTTCGGCTCGGGCCGCAAACCTCTCGGTTCGCAAACAAAGACTTTTCAAACTCGTAGGAAAACTACTATTTCCGCCCTAGGGCAAAAAAGTTCCACTTTGGGCCCATGACGCATTCACGAAAAGTACTTTGGGCCCTCACTTTGCGCCCGATAGGGAGAAATAGTAGTTTTCCTACGAGTTTGAAAAGTCTTTGTTTGCGAACCGAGAGGTTTGCGGCCCGAGCCGAAGGCGAGGTTCGTAACGAGGTTCGTAAAGGAGACTTTTCGAACGAGTTCCGGGAAACTGCTTTTTTGCCCGAGGAAGTACCAGCCTCCTAAAACCACCCGAGGGCGGAAAAATGTTTTTATATCGTAAGTAAATTAAAATAGGTTAAAATAATTTTATGCCAACATTTCCATAGTGTTTCGTTTTGAAAATTCATTCATTAGAATATTTTCATTGAAAAATTAATTATAAAATTAACGAAGAAGCATAATTACTTAAATAAAATCTTTTTCTTGCTAATTTAAGATATTTTGTGTTAAGAAAAAAATTAGAATGCTTGAAAGTGAAAATTTTTAAAACATTACATTCACGTATTGGGCAATAAATAAAATTGATTTTGAGATAAATCAATACCATTATTAGTTATGAAATAGACAGTGTATATTAAAAAAATATTTTATTGGTCAAAAAATGTTTATCAAAACAAAATCTAGATTCTTACATTATTGACATGTGTACTCTGATAAAATTGTCAAGTCTTTATTGTACATTGTTTAACTATCCTTACTTAATACGCGTACTTAATTATTTTAATAAGAACAACTAAATTAAAAAATACTCTCACGAACGAAATAAACGAATCTTGAGTTTTTGAAGCTAAAATACATTTTTCAGAGATTTCAAAAATGTTACGTTTAATATGTTAGTACATTAAAAGTTTTATGTCTTGTATGTTATAAAGCTAATTTTCAAAAAATATACTTGTTTTATTTTGAATTTCTACAACTTTCACATTACGATGTTTCGACATTACGTTCTTAACATAACATACGTAGTGTGTATGTACATTTGTAAAGTTATAAGTGTACTTACATGTAACAAATTCTGATATGGATAAATGTTAGTTTAAATTAAATTTTTTTGAAAATTACATTCAAAATTGAAATCAAAACAGATGAATTAAAAAATGAATTTTTTAAACTGCTTGGCACATTGCAAGAATCATTTTTGTTCAGAGTTAAAAGTTTGAAAATTTAAGATGTTAATACTGCAGCACTTTCAGCACAGTAGGCTTTAAACATTCGTAACTGTAATTTGCTGACTGATTTTGTAATATTTTGTGATAAATCAATTGGTTCTTGGATACACATTGGTGAGTCCAGCCGAAAAAATTCGATTTTCTCTTCTTTAACTTGTTTTTTGTAAAAGCTCATTTCGTCTGGTAACTCATCGATTTCAGAAAAATTACTCTTTTTCATTACTTTTCCAAGGAAAGGACAAGCCACGTCTGATATGTAATTAAATTCCGAATAGTATGTGAAGAATCCGCGAAGAAGTTCTACGGTTGATAAGTTTGTGTCTTTAACAGAAATTTGTTCACAAACTCCAGTTTCCCAACCTGAATGAAAATTCAATATTAAAATCTTGTAATTTCTTTAAAACTTTGGAAATGGCTGCTTCAACAAGTCTTACCTGCTACAAGATGTGATTTACTTTTTTGTTGAATCAATTGCTGTACACTAGGTAAAATTTCTTGAACTTGTAAATAAAAAATGGCAAACCAAGAAAGAGCAAAATTGTTAATTCCCTTGCGCCCTGAGAATAATTTACACAGAGCAGACCATTTTTTTAAATAGAGAATCATTTTGCGACACGACAAACAGGCTTGAACGTAATAACTGAAAGAAACGATACATTTCATTAATTCAAATCGTACTTTGAGTATGTATAATTTATGATAATAAAATTACCCAAGTATTTTGGACTTTTCCACACTCAACCCATTAATAAATGAAATATCACAATTAAGATTAGTAGATCTGTGATTCAATTTAATAATTGGTACTCGGGTGTTGTGGATAATACTGGTAATTTTCCAAGTGTCTTCATGTCTAAAAAAGCACTCCTGAACTGTTGACAATTCATTTTCATTGTCTTCTTTGGATTTGAGTGTTTCATATTCATTCTTGCAATCTACGTAAACATCTAAATCACTGTTTTGAAAACTCAGGTGAGAAATTCGTGAACCAAATAAGTAAGCTTTGGCTTGAGGATATCTTGACTGTACAACTTTTTCTACATTTTGCAAAATTTGCTCTTCAACGTGTTTCCCATCAAAAGCTGCTTTCTCTGATTCTTCTATAAATTGTTCCAAAGTTTCTTCAGTCTTGGTCAAAAGTTGTCTCACTTCGCTACTCATTTCAGGAACTGTAAAATCACGAGTTTTCAAACAATATTCGTGCGCGCGTTTGGTGTAGTGTGTTTTGTGGTAGTCTGATTTTGCATACCAATAACTTGAGCATGAAATACACCAGTCAAATTGTAACGATTGATTTTTTATCAATCTTTTTTGAACTTCTATCAAATGTTTGATATCTTCCAAGTGTCTAGCATAATCATATTCGTAATCATATGTTTTACCACATAAGTAACAATCAAATTTGGCAATGTAATACCAAAGATTTTCAAACATGTTGTAAAATAATTTGATTATCTCATCTGCAGATTTTTTAAAAAATTGGTACTTTTTGACGTGAACATCCGAGACAATGTGATTTTTAAGATTTGTTTCGCAATTTTCTATTTTAATATCACAGGCGTAACACTTGACCCATTTATCTGAATATTCATACATATATTCTCTTGCAAGTTCTAAATCACTAAGCTGTTCACGATAATTTTCAAAATACCGATCATTATCTTCTATATCTTGCACATTTTTTTCATGTTCTTCTGTGCGCAAATGTTCATACAAAAGTTGTAGATCACTAGAAACTTCTAAGCCACACGGAATGCAGCACCTCTCTGTTTTATAGGGAAAAGTTAAGCTTATACTTAATTCTAGATTTTTCATTTTTTCATCATTTACTGTGAAAATGTTTTCACCACCTCTTTCAATACAAATTTGGACATATCTCGGACTGAAGTTCATAAAATCTTTATTTTTCAGTCGTATAGCGGAACTTGTTTTACTTTGGTTTTTTTGATTATAATTATTAACAGGAACTCTAGGTCTTTGTTGATGATTATGTACATGATTTACATTATTCTGCGCGTAATTGTAGGGATGAGAAGGCATAAAATGGGCATTCTTATAATTTGTATCATAACACTGTGGCATCATTGGATAATGAGGTACATTTATATTACCCATTAGCGGCGTGTTTGGCATTCTACACATATTTGTGTTGTTAAGATGTGCCAAGTCATTTGTGAAAAAATTACTTTTAAATCCGTTTTGATGCTGAACATAAATATGATCAAGAAATGCCTTGTCATCAAAAAAATTTGTCCCATGAGTTGGGCAGTAAAAAATAATTTTTTTGAACGATTGGATGCTTGCATTTGCATAATACTCTTGTTTTTTGTAAGCGTGATAATCAGATGTCAAATGATGAACCATCGAGATGTCATTTGGAATATTTATCCTACAAAGGGAACAGGTGTATGCTTGTTTATTTTTCATCACCACTCTGCCATCCGGCATTATGTGCTTTAATTCAATGGGCTCTTCGTTCTGATGCTGTGGATCAAAAATATGCATCCCTGCCCCACTCAATTCGGTGAATGCCATCTGGCATTTAAGGCATGCAATCATTTCATTATTGTCAATGCTCATAAATTTGATATGTTTATCTTTCAATAAAATAATTAAAGACTCCATTCTGAATTTATGAATAAAATCAGAGTTAAAATGTATAAATAACAAATTTTCGTTCATAAACTTAATGTTACAAATAAAACACACGTAATATGAACCAAGAAAATTGACTTGCGGTGCTACCGGTTGTTGAGGAACTACTGGCGCAACGCCACCGAGTACTTTGTCGTTAATTTGGTTTTTTTGTGCTATTGATTGAAAAATATTTTGCAAATAGTTCAAGTATTTGCCAAATTCTTGATTGTACATGTTACTAGCATTGTACGCTCTTGAAAAATTAACAAGATTAGGATGGTATAAACTAGAGTTGAGATGCTGTAAATTAATGATTGTACCATTGCTTGGACATCGTACAATGATCAATCTTTTTTGGTGCACAGTATCTCTCAAATGTTTTTCTAAATCATCCACGTTTTTGATAAGAAAATCGCATATCAAGCAGAATATCTGTTTCATATTATCTTTGACTAAAAAATGTAGAATATCAGTAACTTGACTAATTTTTTGGCTTAAATGAAACATCATATGATAATGCAGAGCCACATCAGATTTCACAACATCCTGACACTTGTAGCAAGTAAAGAGGAAATTACTGCTTTTAACTGTGTCGCTTTCTGACCTAACAGTCGTGATATTTCCTTCTACTTTGTTATTGCTCTCTTTGCAATTTAAGTTGTCCAAAAGATTGCCGCTCTGAATCGTTTTGTCATTTGATTGAGGAATAGAAATGTTTTTACTGCTTTCTTTGGTATTGTCAGGAAGACTGTTACAATGATCTCCATTGCCATTCTCTTGTTGATCACTATTTGTATCATAATCATTCAAATAAATCAAATCTTCAGCTGAATCGGGTACGAACTTTTTTTTCTTGGTAAGGTGCTTCTTGCCAGTAAGATGTTCTACAACATGATTCCAATTCGCACGTACAGGAATGTCACAACAGCAAATAGTACACCTGAACTCTTTGCTGTTATTGGCAATGATGCCATTGTTAATAAGCTCTACGCACCTTTTCTCGTCAATTTTTAAACTTTTCAATGACACGTGACTCTCCAGCTCTCGTAGGTGCTCAAGATCACCAGTAACATGAAAGAATGTCTCGTCTTTCCTGGCAACGTCGACTTCGCAGACAAAGCAGTAAAAACCTTTGCCACTCCGGCAGATGCGGTTTTTCACGAGGTCGGTGTACATTTTTATTCAAAGTGCTTTTGAACCCTTCAATACAGTTCCTATACTTACTTTCACTTGTCAACAAAATCCGCTCCTTGTTACAAGATATTGTTATGCATCAGAATAAATCAAGCATGTGTTCCGAGAGATTACATTGTCCAAACTGTGCATGCTGTTGGGTGAACAGGTTCACGTGTTATTAATTTATTTTTGTATGAAAATAAGATAAAAATGAGTCAACAACGTACTTATACTTACGGAGTTGCATTTACCAACAATTTAGATGATGACGTGGTGTACGTGTTGTACAAACAAATAACAATTATAAATAAATCTACTTTGTCACTTTGACATTATGAACTTGAAGAGTTTGGCGATGTGCACACTTGATTCATCAGCTTTTTTACTTCGGTGATACATTTACTTGCTAGCTTCTTAAGTACATTGCGAAAGAAAATAAATGAAAAACAAACGAATGCTTGGCCGCCATGAAGCTCTCTGCGTTATCCTTTCTTAGTAATAACTAACCGCAGTCGTAAGCCATCGTACGTTATCACTCCCTGTAGGTAAGTATTATGGAAATCTTAGCTTGAACTTGAACTGAAAATACACTTGCATGTACATGTACACGCCGGCTAGTGCATGACTGCATATGTGCATTGTTATTTATTCATTGTGTATAGGTACACATACGCCTGTATTCTGGATTGAAAGAAAAGAATATTCAAATACGTACAAGGGCCGCAAATGCTGCCAGAGCACGTATAGGTGACGTATATAGGACGTAGGTCGTGGTATCGCCGCAAACTGTCGGTGCCCGGTGGGAGCCAAGTAGAATATCCATACTTTTGGTAGATTTTTGGGGTAGAAGATAAATTATAAACTTGCCGCAAATAGCACAGATGACGTCAACTTTTCATTTTATATCTATTAAATTGGTTGCGGCTGGTTTATAATTGACTAAATGGTTCTACTATAAATATAGTAATAGTTATTTGGATCAGCGCCATCTAGCGTTGGGGATTTCTGAACTAAAAAGTGGCCCTAAACTTTTGACCCACAGCATTAGCGCTTAGAGCTATTTAGCCAATTATAAACCAGCCGCAACTCATCTTGTTGCTATGAAATGGAACAATAACGAGACATGTGTTTTTGACGGCAAATTAACAATATATTTTCTACCAAAAAATCGACTTCCTATGTATTTATACTTTTAAAGATAAATTTTCGAGTAAAAGATAGATTGTTAACTTGCCGCCAAAGACACATGTATCGTTTTTTTTTCATTTTATAGCTACAAAATGAGTTGCGGCTGGTTTATAATTGATTAAATGGCTCTAAGCGCTAATGCTGTGAGTCAAAAGTTTAGGGCCACTTTTTAGTTCAAAAATCCGCAACGCTAGATGGCGCTGATCCAAATAATTATTACTATACAACTTATAGTAGAGCCATTTATTCAATTATATAAACCAGCCGCAATTAATTTAATAGATAGAAAATAAAAATTTAACGTAATTAATGCTGTTTGCGGCAATTTTACAATCAAATTTTTTCCTGCGAATTGACCTCCAAAACCACAAATGTTCTACTTATCTTATTCGGCTTAGAAAATCGACTACTTAGTAGTGATTATTACAAGTACTACTATTTTACTATTACTACTATTAATGATTTTTGTTTATACAAGGGTGCCTTATGTAGGGGGGGGGGGGCAAGGATCAAGATGACAATTGCATTGCACACACGTTTAATTGACTGACAAGAGATATCTTACGTTGTATTTAACCTGTTGTTATTATCTATGAGTAACGTGTTTGAATAAAGCAAATATAATATGAGAATGATAATGTTTTTGCGTAACTCTGTGAAAAATTATGTTGGTGGGCATGCCATAGCAAACGTTTACTTCAAACTAAACATACATATTTAAACACTACTGTTGTGATGATAATTAGGACATGAAAAACATCACGAGGTACCACACGAATTAATGTACTTTAAAAGAATGCAATGAAATTATATTCATAAAATTCAAAAATGTTTTATTTTCTGAAAAGTTCATGATTTCAAGTAGTACATCTTAAGGAAGTTACCAAGTTTTAGTTGTGTAAATGTGTGTCGAGGGAAATTACTGTTACTTAAAAAGCTATCTGTTTACTATAATTATTAAATTATTTTCCGATATTAGTAAGAATTACATATATGACATATACGTGTGTACACTTGTTACCAAAAAAAAAAAAACTACAAGAAACTTATACAAGCTTTGGATCATCATCCATCAATATGTTTTCTTTGATTTTTTTCTAGCACATGAAAAATCGTGCGTGTTATCATCGGGTACTTATATTTAATATGTATTTTATATTTAACTTCAATGAGTTAAACTTTTTTCCTTGTATTAATTCATGCAAATATACTAACGATTACATGGCTCTACTGTAAATTGTAATAATTATAAACAAGCCGCAACTAATTTTATACGTATTAAATAAAAAGTTAACGTTGTTTGTGCTATTTGCGGCAAGCTTATAATTTATCTTTTACCTAAAATCTACTTCCAAAAGTATAAATATATAGGTCAATTTTTGGGTAAAAGATAGATTGTAAACTTGCCGCAAACAGTGCAAACAATCTTTTTTTTACATTTTATATCTGTAAAATTAGTTGCGGCTGGTTTATAATTGAATAAATGGCTCTAATATAAGTTGTATAGTAATAATTATTTGGATCAGCGCCATCTAGCGTTGCGGATTTTTGAACTAAAAAGTGGCCCTAAACTTTTGACTCACAGCATTAGCGCTTAGAGCCATTTAATCAATTATAAACCAGCCGCAACTCATTTTGTAGCTATAAAATGAAAAAAAAACGATACATGTGTCTTTGGCGGCAAGTTAACAATCTATCTTTCACTCGAAAATTTATCTTTAAAAGTATAAATACATAGGAAGTCGATTTTTTGGTAGAAAATATATTGTTAATTTGCCGTCAAAAACACATGTCTCGTTATTGTTCCATTTTATAGCAACAAGATGAGTTGCGGCTGGTTTATAATTGGCTAAATAGCTCTAAGCGCTAATGCTGTGGGTCAAAAGTTTAGGGCCACTTTTTAGTTCAGAAATCCCCAACGCTAGATGGCGCTGATCCAAATAACTATTACTATATTTATAGTAGAACCATTTAGTCAATTATAAACCAGCCGCAACCAATTTAATAGATATAAAATGAAAAGTTGACGTCATCTGTGCTATTTGCGGCAAGTTTATAATTTATCTTCCACTCGAAAGTTTACCTCCTAAAGTACAGATATTCTACACATATGTATAATTTAATAAAATCGACCATACGGCACTACTTAGTAGTGATTACCTACTATAATTACTACACATAAATTCACGTATATCTTACACCGTGCTGTCTTTACCAGAATGATAAAAAACACCTTTTTTGTGAGAAAAAAGATGATGCGAAAAACAAATGTATTATAATTGTCGAGGGTCGAGGGTCGAAGGTGGTGGTGCAGTTTTCGATTTTCACGCCTGACCTAACATGACACTCCTCTCTCGCAAGTAGTGCAATGTCAAAAGAGTGTCTCAACTTTTCCGCTGCAGTTTTCACTGTGTCTCCAGTACCTATCTTGTGTTCTTCATTTTTTAAATTTTGTTAAAATATATTTACATTTCTAGCTTCTCAAATGCATTAATACACAACCATTCACTGTTTGTGCAATTGTCAATAGCCTTTTTTAAAATATAATCTATAAGTTTACAAATAAAAAAAAGCAGGTTTGCATTCTCTCTTTAAAGCCCATGTACATATACGTAATCATGGACTACCTATAGTACGATTATGATGATGATGACTCAAGAAACTACTTAATTTGTATTCTGCTTGTAAGGACGCATTCCATAATTGATGTAACCAGCTTTGTTTCATGGGTGCCACACAAGGCATGTAAGTTTTCAGACAGGAAGAATGCCTAACTGCAGTTTGGTTTGTTAAGTAAGTAGAACATTTAAATTTGTAGTGACTGTAAATGTACTCACCTGTTTGTTGACTCATTTTTTTGGTTTTAAGATACTGCAAGGCTATTTTTCTGGTATTGTTACAGTTTTGAAGTCGTACAACGATGGCTACGAGGAAGCGAAGCGAGTCTGGTGCCAAGCGCCAGTACCGAGGCAAATTTTACACCATGTACGAGAGCCTGTTCAGAGGCGAGGAGCTGACTGTTAGCAACCCCAACTACTGGAACGAGCTGTTCCTGATCAAGCCTATTGTGTCACACATAGATAGCGAAATACTCAAGTTGAACGAGGAGATGTTCTGCCAGTGCAAGAGGAACCTCAATCTTCTAGTGTCGCATTGCATCGACGCCCTGGGGGATGAAAACGCCTACAGAATAGTTTACTCCATGCAGACCCTGTCGGCTGTGCTGTTTGCGCTTTACAAGAAGGCCAATCAGAACGACAAGAGCTTTGATTTCATAGACGTTACCTTTGGAGATGAGAATGTTGAAGAGAGGATGACTGTGTTTATACAGCACAGCAACATCTTTTTGAATGGTGAATACTCCGCGACCCTCAAGTCCATGTATTTAAAACTGTTTTTGATCATTGCCACTGGACTGGATAACATCAACCAAAACATGCTTCTGGATTTTGTCATGAGTAGCAGTGTATTTGAATCTCTGATACAGCTGCTACGGGAAACTGCTGCAAGAAACGAGCATGGGTACAACGTAGTTTTGATCCTTACTCTTCTTGTCAACTACAGGAAACATGAGAGTGCGAATCCTTTTATAGTAAAATTGTCGATTTTAGATGATGAACTTGCCTTGAATGGATATGGGCAAGTTATTTCAAGTTCACTGTCAACGTTTTGTAGACAGTTTGATCAACTCAAGCCTGATGTTCAAGTGTCTTGGCTTTCATCTCTGACAAATATGATTGGTAATATTTTTGTCGGCGAAGAGGAGGCAAAGAGCCAGCAAATTCGAGAAAATAATGCTCTGCTGCTTGCTCTCTACGAGGCGACTCATCTCAATAGAAACTTCGTTACTACTTTGGCCTACACACAGAGTGACACAAGTTCCCCGCCATCACCGAACAATACACTGAATGCTAATCAAAAGCTTTTGGGATTTCAAGCTCCGGACGTCACAACTCAGCCGGTAAATTTGTTGGCTGTCTTTTTTCAGTACTGTTCGATCGTGATTCAAGCAACAAAAACGGAAAAAGTCATTCACAATGTTAAACTGTGTTTCCTGATCATGAGTTGCATTTCCGAAGACCAATACGCCAATAGTTTGATGCACGACGCCAATCTCGCGTTTAGGGTTCAGCTGCATAAGATGCCAATGCATCACAGAAAAAGTAACAACAAAATTGTATCTGCCCAACCGTTAGCTGCAACGCTGTTGGATCTCCTTGTGGAATTTATAACTTCGCACATGATGAAAAAATTTCCCCTTGAACTTTATCACCATTGTATAGGGATTTTGTTGAGAATACTGTGTTATCAGAAACGCTGTCGCGTCAGATTATCTTATCAGTGGATAAACTTGTGGACCGTGCTTATAAATCTTTTAAAATTTTTATCCTCGCATGAAAGCTACTTTGTTAAAAAAATGGACATTTTTTCTTTGTCCACTAAAGTTGTTAACATACTGAATATATTCGTGACTTACGGTGATATGTTTCTCTCGTCTTACAACACTTATGATGAACTCTTTTACGAAATCATAAGAATGAAATTAATATTCATAAATCTCAATACAATGGGCATCAGGTACTCAACCAATGAATCTTACGAGTATAAGGAGAGTGCACTTAAATTGACCAATTCATTGGTCAATATACGTGACATTTTGAATCACTTTTCGCCAAAAATAAGCGAATGGCTGGCCAAGGAAAATATTTCCACACCGTCGGAACAGCAAATTATGGACGTGATAAATGAAAACTACAACAGCTTGACTTTGAAATTACTAGACAACTTGGATCAATTTGAAAGGTACTCTGAAAATCCAAAGCATTTTGAATTCTTTAGTAGTTTAGTAAGGAGTATTATTTCAACTACACGCACTTCTATCGACATTAACACATTGGATGTTGAAACTATTCTCAAAGAGTACTGCAATAGTTCCTGAAATTGAGATGATTGCTCCGTGGATAGTAATCACTTTTATCCAGTGTCTTGTCAAATAAATTGTTGAATATTCTAGCAGCTTTCATGAAGTTTTGAAAAGGAAGTTGAAATTGTTTTATTTTATTTAATTTTTCGTACAATAAAAAATTAAAAAATAACGAAAAGAACGTGAAATGATGGTAAGCTGATATGATATTTTTGTACTGTTACTATTTTTCAAATACGCATCATTTTCATGTTCACAGAACACAATTAATAAAAATACTTAACTTTTGTCTATCAAAAACAAAAAAAGCAGTTGTTGAGAATTTTAATTACTTGAAAGACAAAAATTATGTTATAGCTTTTGTTTATGCTTGTTGTTAATGAATTTTTCATCATGTATTCAATGTAGAAAACAAAAATGTAAAAATTGACCAAGTACAAATATTAAGGGATGTGTAAATCACTTGAAACCACTTGAATTATATAAACAGTAAAAAGGCTGATGTGATGTTTGAGCATTCGTCCGATATATTATAAAAATGTTGTATGTTAAATGGACTTATCACAACTGAATAAAGTAAATGAAAAGCTCTGAAATTTACTTTTTTCCAATATTATTTGATTCATACCATATTTGAATAAGTTCCTTTTTATTTAATTATATTTGAATTCTGAGATACCTATAGTGGATATAATAATAGACCTATTGTTGTTCAGAAAATTTTCAAAAATGCTGGTGTACATACTTACCTTGTTATAAAAAGGTCGATCAAAGTTGATTTTAAAAAATTCAACCGCGTTTCCAATAATGAATTTTAATGCCACGAAACTCAATTGGAGCCAATTGATTATATATGGACGCTGATTCAAGGCGATTAAAATTAATGGTTAAAAAAACAATATTAAACAAAATCTTTTTTGGTCAGAAGTTTACATTACTTTATACCGGGTTAAATTATTAAAATACCGCAATATTGGATGAGAAATGTCTAAATGCGATTGAAGAACGTTGCAATGACGGAGCTTGGGACACCCAGGACCTGCGGATTTGGAGGCAGGCACTTTGCCGATTCCACTAAAACAAACCGTGTCGAAAACTATAATCTTATGAAGTACATAGGTAAAACCAAATTTCAATTGACTTTAATGAGCTTTTCGGTCTATTTCTGTCAAGACAATTGTTTTTAATCGAATTTCATTACATCTAGTTTTGAAATATTTTTTTTTTTATGTCATACATACGTGTGCCAAGTGGCTCGTAAACGAAATGACTTTAATAGAAAAAAGTGGCATTGAAGTTTATCGATTTGAATCGGCAATTTGGATCGAATCAAATCAATCGACTTTAATGGAATTAAATGAAATGGCGACACTCTTATTAATTTAAGTTGATTATTATCTTTGTTGGCGAATTATAATTTTTTTCCTTCTTTTTTACCTATAAACTGAAGTAACAACACGCGCTAGGAAGATTAATATATGCAAACAAATGCCGTTTGATAAAATCGACTTACTCATGAAATACTGCAGTAGTAGAAGAATACCAAACTTTTATTCAAGAAAAAATTTTACAATAAGCTATTTTTCGTTTTCCTTTACGAAATGAAATATTGAAATGAATATAGAACTACAAATAGAATTAAAAAATTGTGCAAAACGCATATTAATTAAGATGGCAAAAAAAAATTTTTTTTTAAATCATAAATAAATTGGATAAAATTAAATTATTCGAATATTTTATTTAAGTCGATTAAAGAAGTAAAATAGTAAAAATTGCTATCCAAGTCGACCGAATTGATCCGGCCCAAAGTGCCAATTCAAACCGATAATATGTAATGCCATTTATTATTTAAACCGATTAAAAATGTAATTGTTTAAAAGATCAAACCCTCTGTGACGATTGTATTTATTCAAGCTTTTTTTTACAACCCTTTATTGTATGAATTTTAAACTTTAATAAAGTTCATGTTTATAGGACCATTATTTATTATCCATTAAGGGTCATGCATGTACTTTGAAAATTTGTTGCTCGAATCAACCAGGAGTGGATAAATCAACTTGAAATTTGGTCAGATGTCAGATATAACTGCATCAAGATTTTAGTAAAACAGTTTATTTGATTTTTCGTTACTGTGACCCAACGACATAACAACCTTTATTTAACAACCCAGTAGTAACAGAGTCTTAATAATCTGGGAAGAAAAAAAATCAATACACATTTAGTAAGTTTTTGCTTGTCTCAATATTTCTTAGTATATGTAAAGTTTATAATAAGTACTAGAATTGCATAAATGCGTCTTTTTTGATTTTGATTAAATAATTACTACGAAAGTAACCATGACAGATTCTTATAATCAGCCATACGAGAGTGAGAGATCATCGTTTCTCAAGTGCCATTTTCCACGGCAAGGTTTGAATTATTTTTTTAAATTTATAAATAGTAGTATTATTTGAAATCCATTCACTATTGCTGTATACTTTAAACGTTATAATTGTCCCCCCGGTTATCACATGTTATCTTTAGTTCTATCAATTTGTTGCCCACCTTTTAATGATCTAGTATTTCCTCGTATTTGAATTTACTTGATAGTTATATTTTCGTCTGTGTGTACATCTGTTTATTTGTGTACAACACCAGCAGTTTGCGATACGAATATTATAGTGTCAACAATGACACTTTTAAATTAATTCGTTATTCGACAGTATAGGCACATTTTGTATATACACGTGCTCCCGAGTAAAAGAAGTATACACGATAAAAGTGCAAGAAATTTTAATTAAATTTTTTTCCTTCCAACAATGAGTCGTTTTATTTATATCTACGAACTGCCATACGCCACACGAACGAAACTATGTGAACTATTGAATCTAAACAGCAAGTGGAGAAAACTCGCCGGTACGTATAATATTACATATCTACTTTTTGTTTTAATTTCAACTGTTCTTGTAAGTATAATATGTCGTATAATGTGTATATATATATATATGTATATACTTTATCATCGATCCGAATTCGTATAGGTGATTACATGAAACTCGAAGATGAGACGATAAAAAAGTTGGAGAAAGGAGACAACCCCGCGGACGAGCTACTAACATTGTGGGGTAATTTCAATCACGAAATATTGGAATTATACATTTTGTTGTACCAAATGGAAGACTACCGGCTAATGGTGTTCTTGCAGCCATTTGTCGAGGACCAATACCACGCGCTGATGTATCTAAGGAAAGACAAATCCACGGAAACGTCCACTGAAGTGACACGCGTGAAAACCTCGACGAAAGCGACGAAGCATCGAAATGACACGTCGAGCAAATCGTGCGAGCCAACGTCCAAGCACTCCAAGCCGTTGTTTTCGAGCTCGTTGCCGCAAATTCCGTTCGACGAGGTGGTTTCAGCGACCGACAACTGGAACCAAGACAACTTTTTGGGCAAAGGAGGATTCGCGTTTGTTTTCAAAGGTAAAAAAAAATACACATCAGCCCAACAACTACATGTGTACCCAATCGATTTCCCTTACAGGTATGTGGAAAAACACCGAGGTGGCCGTGAAAAAGCTTCACCGAAAAAATTCCTCCAGTAGCGCCAAGCTGTACGAGCAGCAGTTGGAACAAATGTTCCGCGAGATCAAGTTGTTGAACTCGTTGCAGCACGAGAACGTATTGTCGCTGTACGCGTACAGTATGGACGGCGTGGAGCCGTGTCTCGTTTACCAGTACATGAAAAACGGCTCGTTGAGCGACAGGTTGCACTTGGCGGGCGGTAGCAAGCCCCTCGACTGGCCCCAGCGGGAAAACATAGCCAAGGGGATAGCTCGGGGTCTGCAGTACCTCCACACGGCTCGCCCGAGGCCTTTGATCCACGGGGACATCAAGAGCGCCAATATTTTGCTCACCAAGCACTTTGACCCGAAAATCGGGGACTTTGGGCTCGCGAGGAAAGGCTCCGCTCACGCTTCTGTCAAAGTACGTGTATATACATATACCGTATTTCTGCATGTGTACCAGTATCGTGTAGTTTTAAGGGGTTCCAACAAAACTTTTCAACATTTTTCTTGGGTTACGACGCATACATGTGTTAAGGACCACACGTAAAACGCGAGAAAATTAAGCTCGTTGAAAAAATATTTTTTCTTAACATAGTGGAATTTTTTTTAATAAGGATTAGTCTTTATTCGGTGTTTTTTAAGGAAAAATAACAAATTTCAAACAAATTCCAATTGGCACTTTGAAAAATGTCCATGAGAACTTTAATTTTAATGTATCTCGAGATTTAACAAAATTTAATAACATAATCACCTCTAGGAATGCTCTACTTGATATTATTATGGCACGTGACAATGAAACAAGAATTTAATAATTTATTTCATAAAAGATACACTTGATAAAGTTTTTATCAATTTTTGGTACTTTGACAATAATTAACTTGGGAGTTGCACTGGAATCATCGCTTCAAGTATGATTAATTTAATTGTTTTAACGACTGTGATGATACAAAAAATTATTTCGTAGGTAAACAAAATCCAAGGGACGAGATCTTATCTGCCCAAAGATTATTTGTACACCAAGGCTTTGTCTACGAAAATCGATACGTACAGTTACGGCATAGTATTGCTGGAACTGGCGACTGCCATTGCTGCTTATAACAAAGTGAAATTGAAAGGCGAATCCTTGAAAAATTACGTCGACAGTTTTGGGGACAATTTAGAAGACATTTGTAAATTGAAAGATAAAAAAGCCGGCGAAACAGGTCGTGACATATTCATGTTTCTGATACTGTACGGGAAGTGGTGCTCGCAAGAGTACAAAGAGCAGAGACCAGAAATGACGACCGTTTATGAAGCCATGGCCAAATAATAGATGCACAACAATTATTGTTTGTATCTATCGATTTTACAGCTCGCACTTGCACTACACGTACACATTCATCATTATATACTAGTTTTTGACTTGCTACGTACTATATTCAAAGAGATATGCGTATAAATTAGTTTAAACGATACTGATAAACTATGTCAACGTTATTTAAGTCCTAAATTATATTTTGGAACTGCATATTTTTACATGTAAAGCAGGATGTTTCAAACAGTGTCAGATATTTTATGCCACTCGAGTGAATGTTTCTCTAGATTGATTTTTTCTAGACAAATGCTTCACTTTATTACATATAAAAATTACTTATCGATAAATTGATGCTAAGAATATGATTGTTTTCATGAGGTGAGGGGTAAAGAGTAAACAAAAAATTACTCAACTCGAAAAAAAAACTATTTACGTGTTGGCAATAAGCCAATGATTTTATACATAGGTAACTATATATGTATTTTTAAAATATACAACTGTACTAATTATAGTAAGAATCAATCAAGTAAATATTTTAATTGGTTTGAATGACATTATTTTGTAAATACTTACACGATCCATTCACTATGGAAGAAAATTTGTTGGTGATAAAAAATTATTGAAAATCAGTCTTTTCTTTAACTACATTTAAATTAATTATCTTTCGGGCTGTATACAATACATTTACAATGTAATAATTTCTTTATTTTACGACCCAGTAAAAAATTCACAAGCGCTGCCAAGATAACTAATGACTTTCTGTTTATAGGTACTTAAACATTTTAAAAATGTAATATAAAAATACACTTGTAGTANTAATCAAGGAAAATCCTTTTTTACGATTTTGATTTCCGGTTTTTCTGTAATGTAATGTAACTAACTTTTTTTTTAATGCCATAAAGTCTATAATGTTGCTAGTATGGTATCCCACTCGTGCGTTCAAAATTTAGTATTAACTTCTGAAATTTTTTTTAGATACAGCGATTTAAGTTTCAAAAACGATGTATTTCTTATTTTCATCTGAGAACAAATAATTACATAATATAATTATCCATAAAAAAATTGCATTTTTTCATCCTTTACAATACTATATCTTTCGTACATTATACAAATTTAATTTGCCTATAAATTTCATATTTCATTTGTCTTTAGTTATATAAAATAAATCGTATACATTTATCATTCTAAAAAAGTACTTTTCAGTTTGGTTGGATTACGTTCAACTATTTTTAAAAAAATTCCAATACATTGCAGATAAAAATAGGAACAAGAAGTAATTTATTTTCCTACTGAATTTGAGTGGAAATAAAAAAAGATACAGAAGGTCAATAATATAAAAATATTACTATGTTCACATACAGATTAGGTTGAAAATGATGATGCTATACTAGAGTTTTAAATTTTTACCAAGATGAGAACTGCCAAACGTGCCACCCATCACCTCGATCACTTTAATTTTCGTCGTCATGTTAAATTTAAGGTAAACTTGGTGTTAAGAGCAATAAATCCTAATGGATAAATCTATTGTGTGGATGAAACTGTGCAAATAAATTAATTACAATATTGTACTACATTTCCGAAACTGCATAACATTTTGGAAAATACTTTATATTTTTTAAATAATTTTAATACGTCACATCATCTCTTGCAAATGCTATCAAGGTAACTTTGTGATTGATTCTTTTGAGTCTTACCAAATATTTTCAATAAATTTAAACTATAAAACGAATTTGTAAAAAAAATCATAGTAGGCGCACAAATTTCAATTACCATTGAATTGGATACCTAATGGGATTTAAATTATAAAGGTTTTATCGCAATTAACTTAAACATATAATTCTTGTAAAATAATTTATTTGTAGAAAAATAGGTTTTACTTTTATACATAATACATAGCATTAAATTTAACATACTCGTGATTTAACAAAATTGTTTACAATATAACATCACCTTTTATACAAAGTTTCGAACGAATAGTAAATATGTTCGTCACATCGCCATGTTTGAGACAGTAGTCGTACAATTTCATAAAGTAAGTCACAGCATTGGATCCAGTATTACTTAATATTTTACATGTATTGCTTAAATTGATGACTTTTTCTTCGACAACCCTTAGATACGTAGTTTTGTCGTCTTTGTCATCGAACCAAAGATCAAACAAATCTTTAAAAGTTTTCGAGGCACTAGATTTGGCTCCTTGCAAGATGTGACATATGTCAATCAAAGGAACGCCATTTTCGTTGATAATTCTTAGATAACGTGTTTTATTTCCTTCGTTGTCGAACCAAAGTTCGCACAAATTTCTAAATGCATTTGGAGTTTGTAGACCTGGGCCACTTAGAATTTTCGACGTGTCGGATAAATTCACTCCTCCCAATCAAAAACTTCAATGCTGAATCAACGTTGATTTTAGCGATGCATCAACGCTGAACCAACGTTGAATCAACATTGATTCCATGAATGATGGAACACTGAAATCAGTCGTAATTTACATTGTTGATTCAACAATGATTCAACGTTGAATGAACACTGATTCAACATTGAATCAGCGTTGAATCAGTGTTGATTTAAACGTTAATTTAATAATAAAAAAATATAATGCGTATTCAATACAGTTTAACATCAAATAACTGAACCCCCCTGTTTTGGTGTTACCATACGGACAGTACCTCCATTAACGTCAATATATCTGCCCCAAACGTTACTATACTACTTTGTAATTTTTCAAAATTTAATTTTAACGTTTTGATCGACGCTGAATCAACGCTGATTCAACGTTGAATCAGTGTTGAATCAACAATGTAAATTACGACTGATTTCAGTGTTCTGTCATTCATGGAATCAACGTTGATTCAACGTTGGTTCAGCGTTGATTCAACGCTAAAATCAATGTTGATTCGTTGTTCATCGTTGTTTAACATTTTCAAACATAACTTTTTGTTTTTATACTTACCAAACCAAATATCGTACAGTTGTCCAAAGATACTCACTGTATATGGCTTTGTTCTTTTTAAAAAGTCAAAAATTGTTTGTAAGCTAATATTATATTTTTCACAAGTTAACAGGTAATCTGATTTATTTCCTTTTTCATCAAAAAAAAATTGTAGCACAGCTCGAAAAGTGTCTGAATTTTGTTCTGTCCTGTTAAAAAAATCATAAATATTTGACACACTAATTCCGTATTCTTCAATGGCTTTCAAATATTCTGTTTTTTTTCCTCTATCGTCGAACCACAGATTGTACATAATTAAAAAGTCCTTAACGATATTTATACGACTTTTTTTGAGAAATTTAGATAATTTATCTAAAGTTATATTATTTTCAAGAAGAGTTTCCAAATAGATGGTTTTTTCACCTTTTCCATCGAACCAAAGATCGTACAAATTCTTTAAGTTTTCATCAGCATTTGTACCTTTGTCAGGAAGTATAGTAATGATGTTTGATATTCCAAGACCATTTTTTTTAAGCTTTGCAAATAAACTGATTCATTTCGATGTTCGTCGAAAAAAAAATCGTACAAATCTTTGCAAAACTTGACTACATATCATCTAAATCATTCAGGCTGATTGGCGGAATAATTAGCGAAGGAAACAAAAGAAATGGAATAAAAATAAAATGATTGGAACGAACTAACCGAACGAACTGTATTATAGGGAATACTAGTATGAACGAAGCTGCAGATGCGACGATTGCGGAATTCAATATCCAGCCATTTATATTAATTGATCGAAATTTTGTAAGTATTTTTGTACATATTTTGATTGCGCGTCAAACTTGCAATGACAATTGTGAAAACAAATTGATTTGACTTATAATAATAAGGTTATATTAAATATATAATAGCTAAAAATTATAGTATAAATATTATTTTGATACCCAAATTTTGATGTGAGATATCTCAAAAAGGCGGTCTTAAACGAAAAATTGCTTTTACAATCTTTTTCTTAATTTTTACGCGCAATCGTTTGAATCCAAGATAAACAAGATAGCTTTCAAAAAAATAATTTTGAACGCCAAGTTCTTGAACTTGCATTGACTCAGACGCAACCCAACGCAACCATATGACATCGCTTTTTTTAGTTTGTCGAAAGTTAATAGACAAAGACGTTGTCTTTCTTAAATTCAAGCATAGATAATTCTACTTCAGCTATTGTTGAATCCAATAAAACATTTCTTTTACACAGTGAACAAGGGAACTTCGAGTAAAACTGCACTAAATGTACGGAAACTTGCTTTATTAAAATTCTATTAATTTATTGTCCAAGTTTTAACCTATTTATAGTTCTGATTAATTTTCAGTTAAAATGCCACGACGTGGTCGAGCATCTGGACCTCCTCCAAGGACGTACGTAACACTCTTCTTTTAAACCTTTGTTATAAAAAAGTTTTACTTGCTTGCTATACACGTGATATCTTAAATACACGTGATTTCCATATCTTGGGAAATACTCTTTACATCACGCTTATGCAATTCGTCAGCTAAACTACGTACCAAATGCTATTTCATTTTAATATGTAGTCGATAAAAGTGACTCAACTGCCAAAATTTGCTATTATATCGTGTATGATTTTTTACTTGAGAAATTATGCAACTTTTATTTGTATAGATAAAATAAAAATGAGTCACCTAATCACAATTTACTATGCAATAATAAGTAATTTTTCATTGAATTATCCATATTTTTATTTTTTAACTATTGAAAGTGTACATAAAAAAATTACAGCAAAAGAAGAAAAACAACACATTAATATTTATTTCTGTTAACTTCTTACCATTTGTGTTTATGTGTGTTAATTAATGATGATTATAAGATGATCTAAATAATTTTCCAGGGTCAGGCAACCTGCCGCTTCTATGCAGCGGACCTCAGCACCAGCTAAATATGCACCAGCTCCAACTTCAGTTGCACCACCGGCAATGGCTCAACCTCAGCAGCCATCATTAATGGGCCAAATGGCTGCAACTGCTGGTGGTGTTGCCATTGGTTCTGCTGTAGGTCACACCATTGGCCATGCTATGACTGGAATGTTTAGTGGAGGATCTAATGAAGCACCAGCTTCATCAGCTGTGGCATCTCCTAGTTCAAACTCTGCACAACCTGCTGGAGCTTGTGCTTGGGAAATAAAGCAATTTTTAGAGTGTGCTCAAAATCAATATGAATTGTCATCATGCGAAGAATTAAATCAACTTCTTCGTCAATGCAAAGCTAGCAATGGTAGGCTAATTGTTTAAAGTTCTGAATATTACATACTTGTCTTGAGTTTCAAAATTTGTTTTAAAAGGACTTGACGTCTACTGATAACCAATCTAACCATTGAAATTGGTTCAAGCGATATCAATAGTCACGCTTATGCCAACTCCAAGAAGAGCCATTAGGTGTATCGATTATCTATTCGTGTTTACTCAAAGCAACTCAAAGTATCTGTATCTGTGGTCTAGTACCATGTATAGATATACGTGTTACATTTATTTCAGATTAAAGTAATAGTTATTTCTATTTCATCTATAATCCAACTTTATGAATATGTTAAGAATTACTTGCCTTTGTAGCACTTTATTTGATTTATTAATCATTTCTTGTCTTCATACCTTGTTTACAGTTCGTTTAAGAATAATATTTAAAAGCACTTGAAACAATTTTCATGGCCAGATTCGTTTATCAGAGCACTCGTAAATTCTGGTACACCAACAAATATACTCCTAACAAATAAGTACTAAAATTCTGTAATTCAGAAATGTTCTTCAGATATTGATTGGATTGAAAAATAGCTAAAAATTTATTCAATTGGCTATTAAAATTTTGTAACGAGTTTGCCAATGGTTTTTCAAAAATATTGAAAGTGTAAAGGTACAATACTTTTATTCAAAATATTATGGAAACCAACAGTTGGATAGAAAAAAGTTTAACGGGAAGTTATATGAAACAAAGAAATTTAATGTACTTTATCCCACATGTAATAATGTCAGTGAGAAAAAAAAGCACAAGTCAAGGGTATCAAGTTTAACGATTCATTATAAATTCACACAACTTTTGTATTTAACTTTATTTTTCATCCAACAATCGGTCTACAAGATATTTTTGATAAACTACTTTACATTTGCACTTTCAATGTTGTCACGAAACACAGCACAAACCAGCTATTTCAAACTACGTAAGTCAATTTGTTGCATTTTTGCTATTTTTTGGACTAATCCAAATCTGGATGGTTTTTTTTAGGATAAAAGTCTTATTTATTTGTGTAGTACGTGGTTTTGTATTTTGTAAAACCTATATGATTGCAATGACGTTATTTAACTATAAACTTTTTTTTCAGGTTTAGCAATGTAAAGATTGAAAGGAAGATTAGTCAAATATACTTACCAATTGTTAAATAGTACTGAGTTCCAGAATAAATAATGAAATAAAAACTTTCTGGTATTATTCATTTGAATATTTTGTTTACTACTTATTTCTTTTTGCTAATGCTAAAATTTATTATCTGCAAACATAATTTATGTTATATCCTGTAGTATTTGTATGATTGAAAAATTATTAAATAAATACTAAAATAAAGAACTAAGTGTACTTATTTCGATCCATTTAATGTGCACTTGGACATAAATCGATGTATCAGGTACTCCTTAGTTCGTGGCATACTCTTGTACGTTTGAAATGTGTCACAAATACATTAATTTGATAATTATTTATTAATTAAGCTAGTCACGCAAGTCTAATAGTTTCTTTCAAAAATTTTATAATAAAAATAGTGTTTAGTTATTTTAAATTATTAAAACGTCAAACAACATAATTTTTGCAAACGATTTTTTATTGATTTATTTTTTTTAAACAAATGAAGCTTTGTTAAGTCCTTAAAGGCTATTACAGCTTCAAAATGATGAATATGTAAAGGCAGACGAAGTAGTGGTTGCGGCAGTACTTAAGTAGTGTTTCTTATGCCTACTGATGTACTGACTACTCGGTAATTTTACAAGTAATGTGTTCTGCAAAAGCTATACCTGCAATCGTCGAGCGGCCTTACTGTCGACCTGTAAGTACTAACTGTTGTTGGGTTCCGCTGCTATAAAAAAAATTCAAAATTTCCGTGATAAGACTCAATTTTCCCTGAGATATTTTGGAGTTTGTTGACAAATATCTAAATTTAAGTATTTAGAATTGAATGATTTTTATACTTAAGTTACATAGCCATTTCAATTGAACTTTACATCGATGACATCGATGTATTCGATGCTTTGGCTTTCGAGAAAATGAATACCGCTAGATGGCGCTGGCTGTAATTAACAATCCCTTCGCCCTTCCCCTTGTTAACCCTCTGTAACTAACAACTGTATAAATTTATTATTAATTTTATAAATTATTCTTATGCATATATGTACAGTGCATATACTGTGTAAATGGCGATATGTATTTACAAAAGCCAATAAATACCTACTTAAACTTAAATTTAAAAACTCCACATTCTCTCAAGATTTCTTTAGATGCTTTATTGTAGACCTAGAATGTCCATCTGAAATAGGTCCATCTTTGGATTCTTTAGAGAATATTACCTTTAAAATCACGATGAACATGTTTCCAACAATGTATATATCAGCGTAAGTAACATAAAAATATGCTGTTCCAACAACACTCGTAATCTCGAAGTTGTTGTCGCGTGTGTGTATAGCTGTCATACGCAGGTTATATCAGTGATAAGTGAGCGTTCGATTTACCTTTTAATCTGTAAATAATGCCGTGAGTCTCGAGTTTAATAATAAATACCACTCATGTTTTGTGCAAAACGTCATGACCATTCAACGAAAAATGAAGCAAATAATTTTTTTGCTCATTGCCGTAATTTTAGGTGAGTACTGTTTTTAAACTTTCTCTCATTGCACGACTTCTTTCAAGTCTCGATTGTTTTGTTAAAAAAATGTTTGTTTTTTTATAGTTTTAGGAATTTACAAGACTTTGGTAGGGTCCGAAGGTAACGATAACGCATTGCACAGCTTTCGTGACAGGTTGTCGATCGAGAGTATCAACAGTGCGCTAAAAAAAGCCGCTGATGTCAGGGCAGAAGGTACCTTGTCTGACATAAGAAATCTTCAGGAGGCCAAAACTAGGATCCGAGAGCTTGAAGAAAAGCTCAAGCGTTTCGAGACAAGACTTGAAAACCAAATGCCCAAAAATTATCCTATGGTCAAGTTCTTAAATTACAGAAGTAGAAAGCGTATACTGATCACCGGTGGTGCTGGTTTTGTGGGTTCGCATTTGGTTGATCATTTGATGCTGGCTGGACACGAGGTCATTGTTCTTGACAATTTTTTCACCGGCAGAAAGAGAAATGTCGAACACTGGATTGGCCATGAAAACTTCGAGCTTGTTCACCATGATGTCGTTAGGCCTTTGTACGTTGAGGTAGATGAAATCTATCATCTGGCCAGTCCTGCCAGCCCACCGCATTACATGTTGAATCCTGTTAAGACTATAAAAACTAATACGTTAGGAACAATAAATATGTTGGGTAAGTGATTTTGCACAATTAATCAGAAAGACTTAAGGGGTAGTTAGATTATTACTTTATAGCTTAAGTTCAACTATTATGTTACCACAATTTTAGGTCTTGCCAAACGTGTTGGTGCCAAGGTTTTGATAGCAAGTACTTCTGAAGTGTACGGTGATCCAGATGAGCATCCTCAATCTGAAACGTATTGGGGTCATGTGAATCCAATAGGTAAATATAACAAATACATTTGAATACCCTACGCTATTGGATCGTTATTTTATATATGTTTGTAATTAATGTACGCAGAAATTATTTTTAGCCTTGTAAAAAAAAATGCGTTATTTATTTTAAGGCCCAAGAGCGTGTTATGATGAAGGAAAGCGTGTTGCAGAAACATTAAGTTATGCTTATCAGCATCAAGAGAACGTTTCTGTTCGTGTCGCGCGTATTTTCAACACTTATGGGCCTAGGATGCACATGAATGATGGTCGTGTGGTTTCAAACTTTATTCTTCAAGCATTGCAAAACCATTCTATAACAATATATGGCGATGGCAAGCAAACCAGATCGTTCCAGTACGTTTCAGATCTGGTTGATGGGCTAGTTGCTTTGATGGCCTCGAATTTCAGCCAGCCCATCAATATTGGTAATCCAACTGAACATACAATCGAAGGTATTGATAAAATATCATTAACAGTCAATGATTTTTTTTATAGAGTTAAAAAATCAGAAATATAGTTTCATGTATGAAAAGTTTTTAAGCTATCTTAATTTATTTATAGAATTTGCACAAATAATAAAAGATCTGGTTGGAGGAACAAGTAAGATAGTTGAACTAGCTGCTGTTGAAGACGATCCTCATCGTCGAAAACCAGATATATCTAGAGCTAAAAAGTATCTTAATTGGGAGCCAAAAGTCCCACTAAATGAAGGACTGAAAAAAACAATAGCTTATTTCACGAAAGAAATACAGAGATCGAAGTATGCAACATCGGACAATGATTTCAGACCACCATACAATAATGATCATGATATAATTGAACAATTATAGTTTACTGGTCAAACACTTACTGTTGTGATTGAAAATATATGTACATAAAAGACTATCTTGTAAATACGTTCAAGTTATTAGTCCGTACAAAACTCAATAAAAATATCATTCTGTCTATATTTATTTAAGTGAAAAAAGATTTTCAAAGAGTTTTAGAAAACCAAGAAAATCTTCGTATGATGGTGAAAAAATCTGTAGTATAAGTATGTGTTGTTTGGTGAAACAAAAGTTTAATGTATATAATTGAGAAATGAGAGTGATGGTTGTATAACTAAACGATTTTAATATTAACTTTGTATTATAATTCACGAGAGTGTAAATGATTTTATATTTATGTTGTGACAGTTATTGTTATTCACTTGTATAGTTTATAAGATCAATTTTTACTTTTTTGTGAAAAATACTACTAAATATATGAATAAAAAGTATTGATTTCTAAGAAAAAGCTGCCATATTTTTTTAATGTCATATTGCCATATGTATTTTTTTTTTAAAGCAAACATTTTTCAAGCTGTTCACAGTAATTTGATTTAATTTATGTATTATATAGTGAATTTATTTAATGTAAAAATTAAACATTTCTTACAAATAATTTGATTATAAAATTTGTTCGAAACGCTAAAATTAAAATCAAATATAAAGTTTCAAGTATGGAGTAAATTCTTTTTTTTTAAATTAGTAATCAACAGTTTTTTCACGTTATTTGTGTATTTACTGGTATCGTATAACTTAAGGTTTTGTTTTTGCCTTAATAATATTATGGTTTACTGCACTTCATATTATTTATTACATAAATCATTAATGTTAAATGAGAAAGCATCCGATAGCAAAACAGAAAATAATTTTCTGTTAATAATTTTCACTCCATCAATGTGCTAGTTGTAAATTCGTACCTTGGTTACTTTGGTAACCTGTTAATTTTTAAATAAATTCTCCACAAAAAATAATACCCAAAAATATTTGGATTACCAACTGAAATTTGCAATTCGTAATTTCTACTTCTTTCCGAGAAATATCCTCATGTTATGTTCTTTGGGGATTTTGCGATATATACTCGACGGTGCCAATTTTTTTTTTTAAACGTTAAACCCCATGAAAATTAGGATATACTATAAAGTAAAACAACAATTTCTCAGTAATTACCAGTCAATTACCAGTCAATTGCATTGACCAATGTAAATTGAGATTTTGTCTTCTTTTTATGTAAACCGTTGTACCAAAGTCCTCGTGGGTTCCACCTCTCGCTCAATCCATCTTATTTTTTAAGGGATTTCCTATTTGACACTTTTTTCCCAAGCGTCGAAATAAGGAATTATATTTCCATAGCGCCAGATACATTAAAAATTAAAATATTAATATAAAAAATCGAGAGTTATATAGTATTAAGTAAACAATTTTTCGTTTCCGTAAAATAGCCCCGATTACGATGGTGCTTCTGAGATGAATACTACTATTATTTTCGTGGACTACAGTATTTAACATTTTATTTAATAAATAACGCCAATCACCTTGATTCAAGCTACACTATAGTTTAACCATATTTTCAAAGGAGCTTGATGATCGATATTTTCCCCTATTTTTAAATAACCCATTTCACTTATCGACCAACTATTTGTTACATCCAAGCATCCACGCTTGCAAAAGAAAAGCTTTTAGATTTTGTTGGGTGGGTGACCCGTTGATAGATCCACAATTAAGATCTCATCTAATCCCACTTGGGTGTGCCATTAATTGTCACCTATCGACCTTCGCAATTCTTTTGACGTGCTAGAACTCTCGGTATTAAATTTGGAAGGGATGAAAGTGCAAAAATGCACAATAGTTTTTAAGCTTTTGGTTCGCGTGTCCTTCTTACTGTAATTACAAATTCTTCATGACGGTTTATACATTTAATTTGGTCTAAAACGATTTTTTTTACACCTGGTGCGGTTAAAAATCTTAAAAATTAAAATTCCAGAGGTCAAAATAGAAATCTAAAAAACCTTCACATGCAGCGATCTCCCCCTCCCATCTACTCGACTAAATACCAGAATAAATATTTATAATCACATGATATATTTTTAAAATTTTTTTAAAAGACACCCCAGATCTGTATTGAACCCTAACTATAGTTACATCATACGTGGCAGTATTTGATAACTTAATTATATCTTGAGTTCAAGGTTCTTACAAGAACATAACTTTTACATAAAGTATTATCTTAATCGACAATAATACATGCTCAATAGAGGACCAGTGATTAAATAATCAAAAACCCCGACTAAACTGAAAAGCAGCGATATTTAAATTGTTTTTTTTTTTTTCCTAAATATTGAAATGTTACATTGGAAAATCTTGAAAACATGAGAAATGCGTTAGAAAAGAAAAACGATGCGAAACGAAATTGATTAAAAATTAATTTCCTCCCTTCGGTGCGAGGGAGCCAAGAGACGCGGGAGGGATCTGCAGCGTGTATATTCGTGGATCTTTTTCGAGTGGCCGAGATAAGGCCCCACGAGCCTACCTCGATAATTGCAAGCTCCGCATTTGGTGCAGGGTCACTCGATACTTTCAAAATGTTCTCGCAACGAGTCCCCTTGGACCATCATTAGCTGAGAGAGCACTATATAAGTCTTTTTGGGTATATAAGCCGCGAAATTTGCCCACACTGGCCAGTCTCGATTTTTGATACCTGGTCCAGTGGTCCCATCAGGCAAGTCGTACGTACATCCATACAGTACCGTTTTCGTTTGTGGCCGGCTTAGTGAGTAAACCGGCCGGTAAAATAAAAAAAAAATCAATCAAATCTCATAACCAGCTCACAAGTGTACTTACCCGGGAAATTTAACTAACATTTTACTGACCCCCTGGTTCAGATTTTAAAGACCAAACAACCTTTCCGCAGAAGTAACATCATTTTTTTTTACTTTTTTACTTTTACCTTCTGTACTAGACGACTTTCGTTCTGTCTCAACTTTCTTCTCAGTCTCAAAAAAATTTAATAATTTTTTAAAATTAAACTTCGGATAAATCATATATCTATAATATCTATAAGAGCTCTTGAAAAAAAAAAAAAAAAANAAACTTTTAGAACGTGTAAAAAAATTTATAAAAAATTTTATTTTTTTGCTTTTACTACCAAGTCTTGAGAGGGATTGTATTTGAAGATAAAAATTGCAATGCTGACCGTTAATATTTTTATAAAAAATATCACGGACATATAAGTTGCTGACAAACCGGATGGACTAGTAACTGTTCCATACAACCTATCATTCCTAAATATGACCCAGTACAGATTTTCATTCCATTAGAGTACTCCCTTCATAAGATCATTCTAAGAGTTCATATATTTTATAATAATTAGTTACAAGTTGCAAATACCAGATAACACTGATTCATTCCTGTGATTAAACAAAAAGAATTTTTTTTGTGGAGAAAAAGTTTTTAATTTTTTTAATTTGACCTAATAAATCACTAAGCGTTAGCAAAATTATAAAAAATAGTGTAATAAATTATACATCCTTTTATTTTATTTTTATTGGTGTGTAAGTATTTTAATTCAGTATACGATTTAAAAAGAATGATTTTCAGAAAATTAAGGGTTAGTACTCAACAACTCGTTGGGTGCTAAAAGGTCAAAGGCTGATAAAAAAACCGCAGTTTTGAAATTCAAAAAATCTGTTTTAAAAAATTACTACTTTTCATGAAGCAAAAAACTTTTGTTCCCAATTTTTTAATTAATTGTTTGTTCTGGAAATAAATATAAAAGTTGCAGTGATATAAGTTGTAACTGCTGTTACTATGTGCACACCTATCGTTGCATTGTCAGATAAATATTACTTAAATGATAATTATGCAACTTTACTTTTTTTACTTACTACATGACTATACTTTTTGTGAGATAAGATAAAGCTATCAATCATCATTACGTTTTCTGATTAATGGTACTATTGACAGCAATTGTTATATAACTTCATTTGCTTACGGCAGTATCAAGTGAAACTTTGATATAACTATATCTTTTGCAATACCATCCAATCAAACTGAAAAATATAAAAAAAGACACCTTTTTACGAAATGAACAGCTATCTTGCTGAAAGCCTCTTTTTTATCATCTGTCTCAAAAATATAACTTTCAATGCAATTTATTTTATATTGTTAAATAATTAAAGTTTAACTTTTCGAATTTTATCCGACTTATTAGCATTCTTACAATTTAATTGCTATATGTATTTGAATAATAACATCAATTTATAAATTTTTTGTTGAGATATGGTCTGCAAAGTACTGTAAATGTATAAAAAAATGTTTGAAACCTAACGTTTTTAATGGAAAAATATGTACAAATGTTACATTACTCAATATTTTCCTAATTTTTTTGTAAAAACTCTTTTTCAAATGAGTAGTAAGTAAATTAAAAAAATTTAGAGACTAGTTTAAGTAAGCTTTTTTAAAAAATATACACAATTGAGTTTTTGTTCATCCATCAGACATAGTAAATTTTAATAATCAAATTACTCTTCGACAATATAGATTTGTATAACATATACGTATACAATAACTGTGCCACTTTAGTTTTTTTTTTTTGTTTTTTTTTTTTTGTTAAACGTATGTTAAAGTTTTTGTGCCATCTGTACATAGTCAACAGAACAAACCGTTGCTTAATTTATAATTAGCATCAGCTTCGGAGTGTTATTTTCAAGCCCCAAACACCAAACTTTCAACGGACTGTGTGCAGATCGTAAAAAAACTTTTGCCATTCAAGAAGGGGTGGAGACTAGAATCAAAGTTAAAGCAACACTAATGAAAAATGTAGTGGAAGCGTACTCTAATAAGAAATAAAAAAACTTATACAATTTAATTTATTTACTTGAAAATATAATTTTGGCTAAAAAATATGTTGTATTTTTTCAGGTTGTTACTGTGCAAAAGTGTGATTTTTTTTCGAAAATCATCAAGAATGTTTCGTAAATTGATCATAGCAGTTTTGTTAATCGGATTGAGCTGTGAGTGGAGATAATTTTTTTGATAATTTATTTTTATTTAAACTTCAATATTGGATAATAAGATGTCTACTTATCCATTCGTTACAATAGAGCTTTTTGTTTTATTTGCTTATACAGCAATATGATAAATTATTTAACGATTTATTCATTGTTATAAATTTTTCAAAGTTCAATATTTTATTGGAAACCTATTTTTATATGAATGTAACATATGTGAAAGAAAAAAAGTTACAAACATTAATTTTTGAAATTTAAAAAAATTGCACAATCAAATAATACAGT